CTTTCTTTTTCCAGTGCTACCATCATTCACAGGCAAGAACACTGCCTTTCTCCGACATGGGAGGAAGGAATGTAGCCTCCCCTGAGCTGCTTGAACGCGCAGTTCTCTATTGAACCAAGTCAGAGTGTGCATTTATGACCATTTTTAAGTCATTTCACATTTATTTCACATGTGCGAAGCTTTGTGCCTGGCATGAAAGAGTGAGAAAGTGTTACCTAAACACATGATTTTTTGTTGCACTGGCTTGAAGAAAGGCTGGTAGCCTCATTAAGAATCTGCTGCTTGTTTGAGAATTTCTGCTATTCTCATGGAAACAAACTCAGACACATTTCTTCAAGAGCACTGGGAAACAAGCAGAGCAGTAGGACTGTGCTGCAAGGAGTCCCGTGTTAATGCAAACACCCTACTCGGTGCAAAAGGGCTGGAGGAAGCATGGCATTAGCGCTCTGAGAAAGGACAGTAACATCACAGAAGGGGCATGAAAAGCCCCAGGACTGACTATTTTGCTCCCTGATGACCCTGTTCACAATTGCACAACACTCCTGTGATTCTTATCATAGGCAAGGATTAGTCTACGTTCAGCTGTCTTCACAGTGATCTAACAGACAGAAACAGTCAGTGGCCTCAGTTGACCAGAAATGTTGGCACATTCCCACAGCAAACCTCAGCTTGGAATCACCACAATAAACCTACACACTTTATGATTAGAGGTCACATTTGGTGTGGGAAGGAGGATGTGAGTAGGAAAAAAATTGGATCCACCCAGCCTGCCATGCCAACATAAAACTACTGCATCAGAGCACACATTGAACATTCCCACAGAAATTATCAGCAGTGGAAGACTGACAATGCCAACGTGTTATTAAACAGTCATCATTGGCTCAAAGTCAACATCTTACTGAATTGAAAGGGTAGATGAATAGAGCTGCCCTCTATATTCTCAGAAGAATATCTGTCCACATGTATTTGTCTGGAAGACTAGAGGTTTGAGTCAGACTTTTCTTTCTTCCTCCGTTTCTCTTTCTGTCCTTTTTTTTTAAGTGAAGACTCCGAAATTGATGGAGCTACCACAGAGTTTCTGATTCCTACCAACCAAACTCCAGGCTGTGTTCCTGGACAGAATTCCCACACACCCCCTCCGCCCTTTCTACACACTTACCATAATGGTGTGATGTGGGAACAGGGCACGGACAGACTTCACAAACTCCACGAAGTGCTCTGAATAGCCGTTTGCCACATCCAGGCAGATGTATCTGATCGGTGGAATGGCCTCTAGAATACTTGTTAACTTGTCCAAATCAGCTTTTCCACTACCTGAGCTTGCTGCTACATGCTAGAAAGACAGGGAGAACAAAAGGGAGTAGTAGTTTGTAAAAACTGGGATAAACACACACTTCATATGTCTTTTTCTGCATGGTCTTGGGAGTACTTGTTCTGGAAACCAGTGGAAATTATACTATATAATATGAAATAAATACCTTCCTGGGAATATCAATTTATTCTTCTGTTTTGTTTAAAGGCTCTAAAAGAAAGCAAAATTAGCATTTTATCAGCTCTTCATTCATAAGTGGATTCTCATAAGCAAATATAATCACCTCAGATGGATGAAGGCTCAGCCATACTCATATTAGCACAAATTAAGAAGAAGCCCTAACTTGGTACATTTCCAGGAAGGTAGAGTGGCAAAATTTGGGGCACTGTCAGAGAGTGGGATCTGAATCTTTAAATTCACCAAACACTCCCTTGATCTACAGAATCACAGAATAGTTGAGCTTGGAAGGGAACTCTGGAGACTGTGTAGTCCGACTCCCTTGCTCAAGCAGGGTCAGCTACCATTGAAAACAAGCAGATTGCTTCCTCCTTTGTCTTCCTATGAGTTCTTTCCAATAGAAAAATAGTTTCCACAGCTGTTGGCCCACAAAACCTTTGCAGAGATCCAAGGTCACAGAGCAAGTCAGTATTTAATCACTAGGAGATCCTGCTCCAGTTATTGCGAACCACAAATGAGCTAAGTGCCAAAGTATTCAGACACAGGATATTCCTGGGACCACTTTCTATGCTACCGTGGCACATAAGCAATACTGATGAACCTAAGTGATAGGCTGGCTTTCAGAAAATCCTGTAATCAATAGTCTTTATAATATAATTCTAAAATGTGCCACAGGTAAAGATAGAACACAGCTGTGTGGTATTCTTTTCTATACAGAAAAAGATTCAAAACTGCACTGAACTCCAAGGAGGAGGGGAGAGAGCCAGGCATGTTCTTATATGGCTCCCCAGGTGTAGGGGCCTGCCAGAAGAACGTAGAAGAAATCTGGATATGAAAAAGTCAGAACCTAAGTCAATGTTCAAATTTAGTAAATGGTGTTTCTCTGTAATGGCTTAGGCTAGGACCCTGTGAACAAGTGAGGTAGCACAGCTAGTAGTAGCACAGTGTCATCTCTGGTACAAGGAGATAAATGGTGGACACATATGCCCTGATAACTTTCAATGCTCATCCTTGCTTGGGCCCAGCACCTGGGCGTCTCCAGCCTGCAGGCTCCAGGTCTGCTTGCATACCTGATAGAAAAGACTCTGCCTTGCACAAAGGTATTGTGGTTGGGTTACTCGAGGCTATTTGCATTTGTGGTCTTGGGCTTTGCCCTCACCAGCACCACCACAGCTCCCAACAGCAACAGAAACACAGCAGTTAGACCTATTCCCACGTATTTCCTTCTTCTTTGTTCAGGATACTTCTCTGTTTCCATTCCAGGCATATATAAACTTTTCTTTTTTGCATCTTAATATAAGCACTTTCATAATGGACTCACATAGCTTTTCTTTTTAAACCAGGACAAGCCACTTCCCTTGATGTATTTAAGAACAGCAAATATCTTCATTCCTCAAAACCTCACTTGACAACAGTATTCCCAAGAGATCCTACTGTATGTGAGTTCAGAACAAAGCAATAAACCATAATAATTTACAGTACGAAAATGTACCTCAAGGCATTCTGGGTGATTGGCAGCAAACAGTTTCCATTCTTCCAGAGAATAATGCTTGTGAATTGCAGTGAACATTGCATGCTAGCAAAAATAAGAAAACTGGTATTAATGTCCAAGTTAGTCATCTTTCCCTCAGCTGTGGAATAGCAAGACATCAGAAATTCCCATTTTAAGTATAGGCTCATCCTACTTGAAAGAAACAGTAACAGTGAATAACAGACCAGGCAACTCCAGGTGGCTCTTCAAAGATAACTTGGCATGTTTAGCCAACCTTTCAGGATCAGGTTTCTGATGTGTTTGATGAAGTTACAGTCAGTATTTTGAATGTGCTTAAGCACTGCAAGAAATTAAGGTGAGGCTTGAGGCCAGAGGCTAATTAACCAGTGACTCCTGTCTGCTGCAGCTTTATCCAGTAGCCTACACTTTCAAAACCGCTGTTGGCTAATAATTTTTTTTCTGGAAGGGAGCACAATATACATCTCAAAAACTAAATTCTAGGAGCTCTAGAAGCTCCACCTGAATAAGAGCTACACCCAAGATGGAAGCTTCCCAGTAAGCATCTCCCCTGAAACTCTTATATCTGGAGCCCTGTCTCTGGTAATTGTATTGTTAGAAAAGCACTGCTACTTTGCAGTGAAATCACACCTTCTTGTTCTAGATTTTTTTAACTCATGCCCCACTGGTCTCCAACAAACACAGCCAAAAATTAACAGAGGCTGCTCACTGTCACCCAGTGGTTTCCCAATTATTGCACAAATGAGAATCAAGACTTACTTTTGCCATAACCACAGCCATTTCAAACGTCCCCACAGTGTCCATGTTTGCCACTATTATGGGAATTCCCGTGTATGTCTGCTTGGAGTTGCGGAAGGTGAAGGTGCGCGTGAGGTCGACCTGCAATGAATAGGCACACATTCTTTTAAGTGACTGCAACCTAAGAAGAGTTTTGCCACTGACTTCAGTTACAGCAGGTTTGGACACTGCTTCTTAATTTTCCTCACATTCCCTGTTCTTCTTCCTTTCATTCCACTATTACCTCACCTAATTTATTTATTTTGTTACAACTTCTGCCTTCCAAATAAGAAAGAAAATAATGTTTTCTGTGTTAAAGAGTGTTTTTGCTGAAGAAAAAGAGAATAAAAAAAAAAACCATACAACCAAACAACAACAAGTCAGAAGGGGCTGGAAAGGAAAGAAAGGACAACGAGGACTATGGATTACTTTTGTACAGAAGTAACCTCAGCTGTTTGGCTGCCTGAGAAACCCAAGTTGAAGTCCTAACTCCACAAAAGACAGAACTGGAATTCCCTCTATCATAGAGGGCTTCGTCCCAAACTTTAATGTAAATGACAATATAATTACTCAAAATCAAGCTCTTACTTTTGGCTATGGTTACCAGCACTCTTGCCTACAATATGAGCAATTAAATCACAAGGCTGCTAGTTTCTAAGTTAATTTCTTACAATTGTGTCAGCCTTCACCTTCTAAGTTATTTCTTCTTCAGTACCCTCAAATGATCATGGTAACATCAGGCATTTTGTTGCTTACATTTATTTGCAAAAGGTAATACCAAATACAAACCAGTTCCCACTGGTCTACTTAGCATCTTGCAAAAGGGAAAAAAAAAAAAACACCCTAAGAAATGCACAGCTGTAAGATATTAGGTTAGTCTCTTTAGTAACAGTGAAAATGAAGGCTCTTTCACAGTTTTCATTACTCCTCACTTCAGCCTTAATCCAGGAACGTTCACAGACCTGAACTGAACTGAAGTCCATCACCAGAAAGGAAGCAATATAAAAAATATAGGACTTCGATTATTTACTTACAACATATTTTGAGCACTGCCATATTGCAGGCTACATTCTGACTGTAAAACCCTGGCAGGGGTTTTATTACTGATTTGTTAAGAGAAAGAACTTGGTCCTTCAGTGATATATTGTGAAACAGGTTCTCATTTTGTATAACCTCATAAATAAAGGGTCACTTTGGTGAACAACCAAAGATACAACTTAATGGAAGCTCAGCCTTCTTGTCATTTACTATCGGAGACTATAGACCATTGATGGGTTCTCCACCCATCAATGATGACATAACATTTTTATGGGAATTTCAGCTGCAGCTAACAGGGAAAAATTCTATGAAGAAGGTAGGTATGAAATAAGTATGAAAATTTACTGCATTTTATTCACTTTTAATGCAATTTATTAACTAGAACCAAGGAAAAAAGGACACAGTATCACGCAACTAGTTCTACACAGGCAATAGTACCAGAACCACTGCCTTAGAGTTCTACAAAGGAAAACCGCCTCCTTCAAATGAACTTAAGAAAGAAGAAGAGAACAGTATGTTTGAGAAAAGACTGCGGCAAGATGCAAACATAGGCAGGGAACACAAGGCCATTATTCTTCCAGTGATTCTCACCTCCACTTACTGTAACTTCTCATATATGACTTCCTTTAGCCAGCCAGCCACATGCATCTCATGCAATTATCCACACAACTGATACTACTGTAACGGCAGGTATTTATGAGGGATAATTGCAGGGCTTCCTCTAATGAGGCTTTTGTTCTATAAGAACAGGAGAAATGGCACGCTGGGTTGGAGATATTTATGTGGTGCCCTAGTTCTCCAAACAGCCAGTACCAGATGTCTGG